AAAATCGGTCCAGTAGTTCTGGAGATAATCGACCAAGTCTGCAAATTCTCTTAATTTCTTACGCCTGTGTGTATATAGATAGATAGATAGATAGATAGATAGATTTAAATCATTTATTGGTAATTTTTATCTTCATGGTAATGGTTTACTGGAAATACTGGCTTTCAATATTATAGTTATTATAACCACGCATAATGAAAAGTAAATTTAACCAAATAGTGGTTTTTACGGCATGTTCTAAGATATCATGATAAAATCATTAAATTTTGTCCCAATTTATTAAATTTTATCTCATATTGTAAAACTCTATTTTATTTTTAATTTTACCAATACCGAAATCTTTGGTAAAAATCACTGAGCTTTTGGTGTTTTCATAAAGCGTGAAACTCGGTAAATTTTACCATAACATGGTAGTTTTGTCCCTACTTTTTTTTCAGCATATGATAATACATAATAAAATTTTAAAAAATTGCAATTTCTACTGAGCGTTTTTTATAGTCAAATTTAAAAATCTTTTGAAGTTATAATTTATCAATGTCTAAAAAAAGAATAATCAATAATTATCGCTCATCTTCTTATCTTGAATACAATCTGTTATTGCAAAATGAAAAATCAGTAACTTGCTTTTTATTTACAAACTGTTGCTAATTATTAGATTAATCTGAAGCTAATTCTGGGTGTTTAGCATATGAACATGATAAAATCTAAAAATGAACTTGGGTTGCGGACAGTAATTGGAGCGAGAGATTGTTTGTTATTTTGCGCATCAGCTCCTCACGTTCAAAAATCTATGTTTAATTATTTGCCTATGCTACACTTTGAGTTTACGATTTTCTTCAACTTCCGGTTACAGTTGACGTCACCTCTCACACGAAATTTTTAGAGAAACTGATTATCTTTCTTACGTTTTCAAAAAAAAAAAAAANAAAAAAAAAAAAAAAAAAAAAAAAAAAAAAAAAAAAAAAAAAAAAAAAAAAAATCTAAAGAGCAAAAAATAATTTGTTTACCATATAAATGAGTCTTTTTTGAATAAAGACAGTTTTATTTCATTAAAACACTATTCTTTCACATTTCTTTAATTCATTCATTTTCCAGTATTCATGGATTTTTTTTTTCTGTGTGAATATTTATTTTGGAAATAACATTAATTTGTAAGCGTAAATTTCATGAAAGTTTTATCATAGATATTGCAAATAGAACCTCAGCACTTGTGCATTATGTTAAGATAAATTGTTATCAACTTGAGACATGCAGGGTGTTTCATAATGACTGCCCTTAGCATGCATTTCTAGAAGTTTTACATATTATAGTTCAGAAATTTCTTTTCTAAAATAAAAGAATATTTGATAAAAATCGATCTTTATTTAAATTTAGATTATTCATTTAATTGCATTCGAACATTTGATTTTTTGCTGTATATACTTATTTTAAAAATAACATAAACTAATAGTCACAATTACACTGCTCAAAACTCATGAAAATTTTATGACAGATATTACAAACAGAACCACTATATTAACACTTAATTTAGAGAAAACGAGATAGGTAGAACTCAAAGTATACGAGATAGGTAACATATATTAAAGCATAAAGCTAAGCAGGTGTTTCGTAAAGAAATTTTACACATTATGATCTGAAAATTTGTGCTTACGCAAGGAAGAAACAAAAACATTATCAAAATATGTTAAATTACTATTGAGAATAACGGGAACAAAAATATCAAAACTTGTTTGATTGAAAACATAGAAAAGTTGAAAGGCGAATGCCGGAAAGTGAGGTTCAGTTATCGTTTCGGAGGTGTTTCTAAATAACAATCAACTCCTTCATGTTTCTTCCATGAATGATACAGATTTTGATGTTTTCAGTTTTACCTTCCTCAATAATGATTCACTATCGATTTTGATTTGTTCGTTTGATTTGATTCGTGTTTTCCTACTTAAGAATTAATTTTCGACCCATAATTTAGTCACTCTTTTTATTTAATTTTTCATGAATATTCTAAAAATATATATTAAGGGCCGTCATTGAAGAGCATCCTTCAGCCCACAAAATGTTTTTCCAAGAAAGTCGTAAAAAATTCAAGTTACAACCAAGCAAAGTAAAATAAGATAGCCGCTTTTATGGCCAAATTATCCCACCTGACTGTATAACTTAGATATGCTGATTTTTTAGCTTGCAATAATAGAAGTAATGCACTATACTTTTTTCTTTAAATAATAATAAATGCAATTAGGTTGAGTTCTGTAACACAAGACTACAGTTCATTTTTTACATACCCACTAAAAACTCAAAAATTACTTTCATCAGTAATAAATTATAAAGTGATGTATATAATTATAAAATGATGAATTATAATGAGTAACTACATAAAATAATTAATATAGTAATCATAAAGTAATAAATAATATGTTCGATAGTGAAGAATAAATTCAGAACTCTGATTAAAAATGAAAGTAGTAATATAATACTGGAATATAATACTGAATATAATATTGAGTAGTAATATAATACTGAAAATGAATAAAATACTGAATATAAAGGAATCAAAAATTGTGTATCAAAATTACAATTGTAGAAAGTGAGAAGTCAAATTTCTATGCAAATAATCTCGATGAAAATAATGTATATAATTATAAAGAAATGAATTATAATGGATAACTACATAAATAATGATAGTAATTATAAAGTAATAAATAATATATTCGATAGTGAAGAATAAATTCAGAACTCAGATTAAAAATGAGTGTCGTGAAAGGGTAAAATGAATGAAATACAGACTTTAAAGGAATCAATAAAGGTGTATAAAAACTACAATTGTAAAAAGTTAGAAATCAGATTTTCATGCAAATATTCTCGATGAAAAATTTCTTGTTGCTTTAAAAGCTGAATGTAATTTTAAAATCAAATCCACATTTATTTAAATAATAATGTATCATAAAACTATATTTTAAGTCTACTGCTTTTGAGGAAATTTATTGTACCAAAAATTGTCAACATATATGCCTTAAAAAACTTCATAGCTTAGTATTAATAAAACTATATTTCAGTTAAATTATTGACTTTGATTTAATCTAATTATGCTAATTTTTTTTTCTTTGAAGAAGAAAAACACAACAATAAAATTCTGTTAAACTTATTTAATTATATTTTGTTATTTCCTGAGTTTCCATTGAAGTTAACCGTTCTACAAGGTTGAAAACCTTGCATTTTTCTGTCTTCACTAGTATTTTATCAATTTAAAAAATTTGTATATAACAACAAATAAAAATTGTTTTCAGACATGCGTTATTTCAAAAATATTTCGGCTAAATATAAATTAGTAGATATTATTTAGAGATGGTATTCAAATTAGTAAATCTTAACTAATTTTAAACAAAGACCTAATGTTTTAGCTTTTGCCAGATTAATTAATAAGTCATATTACTACCACTTTCTCAACAAAAAAATTATGAAGTACACCTTGTTCTTTTTCTGAAATAACTTTATATTAATAATCATAATTAATAGCAAAATCTGAAAGAGAACAAAATTCAAAATAAAACTTTAATTAAATATGCTTAAAAATAATTGCAATCATTTAATTATAATAAAAAATTTCTTGTATTAAATATACTATACGTAATATTTTATCACATAAAGCATTAATATATATGCTTTAAATGATTTCTTATTGGAAAAAAAATTTGCAACCTTCTCTTATAATAGATATGCATGCAATAACTTTCAATAAAATGTCCTTATTTAAAATAAATTTATAACCTTATCCATTGAACTTTTTATTACATTACAACATAAATTAATTATATAAACATATGAATTACTTGTTTCATAATACTTATAACAAAGTACTTACTCATTTAATTACACAATCAACGAATCGAATATTGAAAATAATACGCTTTTATTTCAGTCAATTACTTTGCATTGTTTTTGTAGATATAAATGAATGTTAAGACACAAAATATATCTCACAATGCTATTATCAATAGTTAAGATGATGCTAAATTCAACTTATTACAATAAACAATAATTTTGCATAAAAAATACGAAATTATCTTGATATTTCAAATACACAAGTTTGAAGAATAAATATATTTTTCTTTAAAGCCTGCTTACTTCTTTTGTATCTATCTGTCTCTGTTCCCACTGAACAGAAAACAAGGAAAGAAATTTATTCCTCCATTTTCACAATTAACGCTCATTACGTGTTTCACAAGAAGTAAAAAAAGAATTAAAATAAGTATAACAATAGAAATTTATTAGCGGAAAAAATTTATCAATTAGATGTCAATTCAATTTTGATAGACAGAAAGCGAGTAAACAAAAACCGGTTGAGTCATTAATAGATAAAATAATTTTTGATTCTAATATGATTAAAGAATTGATAGATTTCATAATTATTAGTTTTTTTATTTATTTGTTTTATTTTATTTTATTTTTACCTTAAGCTGCCTTAAAATTATTTTAACTTGTTTTCACGAAATGTGATATGAATTTTTATACTATAATAAACGTTCTTAAAACACTTAAATTGTGACAACAATTTAAAAAGAGTTTCAATATCACTGAAATTATTTTAAAATTGGTTTTGCTATAAACATGGCCATGTCTTAGGCCGATATATATGCTGTTTTAAATAAATATTTTTTAAAGCGGTGGTATATGTATTATTAACCATGAAAGAAAATGGTTTTACTCAATCAGAAAATACAAAATTCTTAAAGAGATTCTATCTGGATTTCATATGAGAAATGTAAATGATATGAACAGCCTTGTTTTATCTTCTACAAAACGTGATGACAACTAGTTATACAAAATGCGTCATAGTACGGTTCTACTAAAATAAAAAAAAATTTAAAAAATGTCGTGAAATCAGTAAACAATAGTTTAACAAATCATTTTTATCATTTCATATTCTTAAATAGGGAAACAAATTTGTATTTTTTATAAACAAAAAACGGTTTACTAAAATGTAATTAACTTCAATTAAAAATGTGCAAATGGGAAGTAAAACCTCTGCCATGCAAAAATTGGTCAATACACTTTTTTTCTGCTGTTGTACAATAACAATTGAATAATTAGAAGTGAATTTCCATAGAAATGTAAGAAAAAAATCATTGATAAAGTCACGTAACATATATCACAGTAAATTGAATAAAAGCGTAAACTATAAAATTAAGGTAAAACTCTCGATTTTCACTTTTAAATGCTATCTCGTACTCAGTAACGAATATAAATGTTACTTAATCAGCAACTAAATATTTGAAAATCTAAGATAAGTATAAACGAAGTATTAATTCCAAGAAAGCCTTCCAATCGTTAAGCAGAAATCTAGTATTTTCAATTTTGAAAACAGATAATGTTTTCTAACGTTAAATAATAAAATTCAATTCTGCATTTCAATTTCTTTTAAAATATAATGATATTTACTTCAAGTTTTACTGTTTAGTTTCATACGCTTTATACGTTTACTTTCCATAGATATGAGTTATTTTTTATAAAGATTTAATGAAAAATTAACTCGTAGTGAGTGTGTAATTAAAAATCAGTGGCATTTCACTAAATCTATGGAATAATTTTTCATACTGAGGCTATTTATTCTGAAGATTTCTCGACATTTTTTGGAAAATAGATACCTACACGGAGGAAAAAAAATTCCTGACAAAATTACTGTACATGTATGGTGAATGGCATTTAAAAAAACAACAACACAGTTCTGGTAATCAAAGCAAAATATTTAAAACCACTCATTTGGTAATGTAATTTTTCTATCCATATAGTATCAGTTTACCTGAAATTCTGGTTTTCAAATTTATACTTCTTATTACCACACATTTAGTAAAAATATATAATTCAAAAGTAATTTTAACCGAATAAATGGTTTTTATGCCTTGACCTAATGTGTCATGATAAAAATACCAAATTCGACAACATTTACCACCAAACAGCGTAGTAATAAAACCATATTTTATTGTTAATTTTACCCAATGTTTTAAAAATTATAGCGTAAAAATACACTACTGAAAAGTAAATGTATCCTAATAAATTGGTTTTTAGGCTATGGTCTAATGTGTCATGATAAAAATGCCGAATTTGACAGCATTTACTATCCAACAACTTAGTAATAAAACCATATTTCATTGTTACTTTTACCAAAAGTCATTACCAAAGCGTTTCGGTAAAAACTGCAGTGCTCTTTGGTGTTCCTAAAGATCCTGAAACACGGTAAATTTTACCATATTATGATAGTTTTAATCATACATTTTTCTCAGTGTAGCATTGAAACTAAAAATATATTATGTATAATAATTTTATGCATAAATACATTAAGTTTAAAATTGTGAACGTTTGGCAATTAAATTCATAAAATCAGCATTTAAAATACAAATTTAATCGTAACTCTGACGTTCAACACTTCAAATTTTCATTTGATTTATGATTAAACCTAAACTTGAGATGTAAAAGGCTCATAAAACGTACGGAATCTTTTTAGAAATAAAAGTGTTGGGAAATTATTGTTTCAGTTTTCAAAACAAACTTAGATACCGAAACAGAAGTTTCTATGAAGGCCAAACAAGTACACAATTACTGGCTTAACACTGACCTGAAGGAAACTTCTGGTAAAAGACATTTCATAAGAAGTAGGTTATGGAGTTAAGACAAAAAATGATTGTTTATTTTTGTCATTGAGAAACTAGAAAATACGATAATGTTTTTTGGCATAAAAGAATATTCAGATTTTTATGAAGACAAATCTCATTTTTTAAAATTATTTAAAAAAAAAAAGAAATCAGTAAAATAGTTTGTAATGTTTTTTAATTATATTTTATTATTTCTTACATTTTTAAAGAAGTTGACTAGAAGTTACTATTTCCATATTACTTCTTTTGTTTAAAAAGTTTGCACGCAATTGCATATAAAGTCTAAAAAAAAAAAAACTTTTCCTTTTTCTTTCTTTTTTTCGCTGTTTTTATAGTACTTCCTTAATTTAAAAAGTTTGCAAGCAATTACATATAAACACTTCTCCCAATATGTGAAATAATACGAATAATAATAAACAATAGCTAAATATCAATCTAATTTAATAGAATGAATTTCAGAGTGATTATTCTGGATCATGTCTTTTTACAGGCGTGGTAGGTCCAGACCTTTCTGTTTACGTGCGACAATGCGCGGTCACACAGGTGCGCTGAGGTATCGGACACACAAGCAAGTAAAGATATTGACCAAATGCAATGGCCTGTGTACTCCCCGGACCTAAATCCTGTAGAGTAAGCCTAATATGTCCTTGGCTCAGACGTGTTTCCCAAAGAACACGCCATTTCTAAACCGTGCAAAAGCTGAAAACCACTTTGAGAGAAAAGGACAATGTTGCCCAAGAACTCTTAGATAGTTTAGAGGTCAGAGTGAATATTAGATGCAAAAGGTACATTAGGGACCGAGGTAATCACGTTTTTACTGAAAACCTCCTTGAGAGAGGGATAGGACAATGTTCCCCTTAGGTTTTTTAGAACTCTTAGATAGTTTAGTTGTCAGAGTGAATATTAGATGCAAAAGGTGTATTACTGACCGAGGTAATCACATTTTTACTGAAAACCTCCTTGAGAGAGGGATAGGACAATGTTCCCCTTAAGTTTTTTAGAACTCTTAGATAATTTAGTGGTCAGAGTGAATATTAGATGCAAAAGGTGCATTACTGACCGAGGTAATCATTTTTTTACTGAAGTACTTATTTCTGTTCTATTCAGATAGGATTCAATTTTTCATGGCTGCTTGGAAATCGTCCAAAGAGCATCATTTTTATTTGTAATTTTATTATATTTCGATAAGTCAAATCTAAACTAATTTACATAATAATAAATGCACATTGTTTCTAATTAAATGTGTATTTAGTTTAATTTCATCAATCGACGTCTATTATTAATTATGCCGAAAAAATGTAACTAATCCTTAGCAATTGTCAAACAGTGTAGCTCAAAAATTATAATTAACTGAAGATTAAAGATTAAAAAAAATTGCATAAACTTTATCTTTATTGCAAGAATTTATGTGAGATTTTTGAGTAACATTCTTCAAAGTGATATTTTTAATGTTAGAAAAAGAAAATTATTTTTGATAATTCGTTTTTTCATAGAATTCACAAAGTATTTTAATTAAAAATTATGCGATTAACAGCATTACAACTTATATAAGTTAGTTATAAACATTTAAATTTCATCATTTAAGAAAATTCTAGATTTTCTAGATGTCTGATCATGATAAAGCATATCAAAAGATTTAAAAGCAATTTTAATCACGAAAAAAGAAACCGGTGAAATGCAAGTCATCTTTTCAAAAGCATGACTTTTTTAGATAAAACTATCCATCTGATAATTTGGAACAATGTCAGATAAATACATTTCGACATTAAACATTTATTGTCAACTAATCTTCACCAATCGATATGAGAAAAAACTATTTATAGTGCTAAAAACATATAAAACAGCAGAAATAGTTCTGAAATTTTTCTTCTTTTAAATAAACATTAATTTTTAAAATATTATGCTATTTTCTTATCATTTAAGTATTCATTACTAAACTGAAAAATAAAAAGTATGGTCAAAACTACCAGAATATGGTAAAACCATTTCCGGTTCGATGAGAACACCAAAAAGCTCTGTAATTTTTACCGAAGCGCTTTGGTAATGATTTTAGATAAATGAACAATAAAATATGGCTTTATAATATGTGATAAAATTTGGTAAATATGGTAGAATTTAGTAATTTTATCAAAGTACCTTAGAGAATGGCATAAAAACCATTTTTTCTGACAAATGTGCTTTTCAGTTTATATTTTTTCCTAAATGTGAGATAATAAGTACCGTAATTTAGAAAACCGGAATTTTAGGAAGCCATTACCATATGAAAGAAAAAATTACTAAATGAATGGTTTACATACTATTTATTCTGATTTTGTGAATCAGAGTTTTTTTTTTTTTTTTTTTTTACCGAAATGTAACTACCACGCAGTTCTATAATTTTACCAGAAATGTTTGTTCTGTGTAAAATTTATATTTTT